GACCCAAAAACCCCATTTCCATCATGGGTTGTCGGGAACAGCTAGCAAGCCGCTTGGCAAAGGTAGCAAAAATCACTTGCCACTCTTCACAATCTCATCCATGCCACCAGCAGTGACAGACCCTCCCCTAAAGCCTAAGGAGGACTTTGGAGAAAGCGATACTTTCACCACTTTTTTCCTTTTTTTCTTGGCCCTTAAATTGTTTGCAAATGTCTTCATAATTGTATTACAAAAATGTTGGTGGTTTATCAGAGATGCACAATTTTGGCTCCATTTACTTCCCAGCCATGAAATCGGTATAGATTGTGCCTTCACAGAATGTTCATATATCACCCAGTCAAAAAAGTATACACATTTTCCAGTTTAAAAAACAAACAAATAACCTGGGGAAGCTGTGGGCTCCCACTTACGAGAGGCATTTAGAAAACTTAGAGATGGAGCACATGGGGTACCAGCACCAATGGGACTTATTCCTGCCCCTTCCATATGGCCTCATTTGTTCCATCCCATTCAGTTACCTAGGGGTTCTTTTTAGAACCACAGTTAACCACAGCAGTGAAGTGCTCCAAAGGGGGCCTTAGAAAGGAAAAGTTAATACCTTCCCCTTTCTGAAATAGTTGGAGACCTGGGGTCATGTCAGAAATGTGGAAGGCAGTACAACACTTGGAAGTCCAAAGGACTGGATTACTAATGGTGAAATCTTGTTGCCAACCCTTTTGGAGCACCTATTCTGCCCCACTTTAGCAATGATTTTCAACAGGCACCTTGGTAACAATGAACAAATCGGCCTATATGTAGTCTCTCTTGGTCAAGCTGTTACCTACCACACTTCACCACTCTCTTGGACAGCTGAAACAGACAAGGACATCAACCAGGCAAGACTACATTTATTGGAAAGCCATAAGCACACGCTCTGTTAAGACTTGCTATTTAAAAAAAATGAACACAACTGCACAATTTTCTGGGACTGAAATTATTTAAAATTACTAGTCTAATATATTATCAAATAAGCTGTTTAGCAGAATCAGTTCAATGAACGTGGATTCAACAGAACAATGACCATGCATGGATGTTATGCTAAGCCAGGAACTTTGGTTTACCTATCTATGGTGTGGACAAGGAGCATGCTAGCACACTCAGCCCATTCACTTCTACATCTTCGTTAAAAGTGAACAGCTAAACACACAGGAAAGGGTAGCTTTGCCTTACCTTAAGAATTATAGTTAAACATGCCCAAAGAAGGCAAGATCAAAAACAGCTTCAAACCAGGCAAAGTACAAAAATAAGACTACGATGGTCTATAGTGTAGTAATTACATGCTGGAGTCAAGTCTCAATCTGCACTCAGCCATGAAGTTCATTGGGTGTCTTTGGGCAAGGAACTCACTCTTAGCCTAACCTACCTCACAATGTTGTTGTTGTGAGGATAAAATGGAGTGAAGAACTACGTAAGTCTCCTTGGGTTCCTCCTAAGAGGAAAAAAAGCAGGATATCACAATGGTTTTGTTGCTGTTGTCATTGTTGTCGTCTTGAAGATGTTTAAAGCAAGAAAAATCTAAGCCTAATATAGCCATTGCTAGGGAAGTCTACTGTAGCGATGACAAAGTGGCTTAAAACATAGATATTAGAAACCTATGCAAATATATCTCTTCATCACCATAGCCTTGCTGACAACCACTCCATAGAGGAGTGGTTGTCAGCAACAAGATCAAATATCCTACTTTAATCTACAAGGTGTAGTTTTTAATCTTTTCCACACATTGCCTCCAGAAAAGCAGGCATGAACTCCAAACACCACCCGTGTGCTTTTAACTTGCCAGAAACAAAGTGTGTGAAAGATCAAAAGAAATAGGAATCAATAGGATTAAGGAATGGAAATTATTTTGCCTTGCTACAGGGTACTAGTCCATATTTACTTAATACATTGTACAACTGAACAGAATATCTCCAAAGAGAGAAAACATTCTCTGTCGAATAAGCCTGGTTCAAGGTTCAGAAGTTATGTTCCAGCACACTCATCTCTTTTTGCCAAAGGCCAACTGATCCAAGAGAAAGGGGCACTGACCTGAGGGAATGAGAGAAAACTAAAACGAGAAATCTTTTATCCTTCTCCTCAAGAATAAGAAGTTACCTAAACCTTAAAAGGTACAATCTGCCTGGGTTCTCTCTTCATCACTGGAAATCTCCATGGACCTACGATGTACAATAATCAGACAGCCCTACTGGCCTAACAAATGTTTAATTAGCTGAACCGCTTCATTTCCCTTTTTTGCAGCTGTAATTTTACACAGTAATAAAAGTCTCTGATGGCATTTTTCTCATTATCTTTTTCATTTTGATCACTTGTATTTATTCCTTCAACCAGGATTATGAAATTCATTTCCAGGCACTTAATTTCTCTTTCTTAACCACTTTTTACTCATTCCTGCTTACCCCTTGGCTTTCATACTTTTCATCTTCAGCAACACAGACTCCAGTATGGAAGAAGAACAGTTACTAAGTTTTACAATTTATGCCTGCACATTCTCAAAAGCTTTTTAAAAGCTCACATCCTGACTAGCAGTGTTGTCATTGCCCAGAGCCATCACGAAATGGTGGCTGATAAAGTCATAAAAAGGACAAAGAAGCAATCACCTGCAACAAGTCATCAATTCCCTCTGATAGCAGAGAAGGAAGAGAGGAAGTCTGCAGGAAACATGTCAATTCAGAGGTCATTCTAAAAAGTGCAACAAGCAATGTTTAAAAGCATCCTTCACAAAGTTGCTGCATCCTACAACCCTCTCATCTCCTTTATGATACAATTTTCATCAATTTCCCCTATTAGCTACTTTTACTGTCTTTAAGAAATAATGGGCCACACCCTTCTAAACAGTCCTAAGTAATTATTAGGGATATTTCCCACAGTAATAGGATCTTGGCTGATTCTTTCTTGCAGCTTGTTGCATGTGTCTGTTCTTACTGGGCAAGGAGATGAAATATTGAAACGTACATCCATACAACATACCAGCTGGGCTCTGGGCTCACACTGGTGCTTATCCAATTGTCAAATTTTGACAACCAACACAGTAAGTCATTTTGTTTCCTGCTAATTCGTAAGCCACAGCATGGTTCCCTATGATCTTATTCCCACTTTGCCCTCTCTCACAACCTTCTTAATCCTGGACTTACAGCAGGAATAGAAGATAAATTTTCTTGCAGCACAGTGTGTTCACATGACACAGTAAACCACCTGAGCTTATAAGCCCAGCTGCCTTACTGCATTGTCAAACCCGTGTAGTTCCCATGGGGTGGCCTATTGTGATTTATAAGTCACCCTAACAAGCCCAGTCTTGTTATGTGGCTTAGAAACCACCCCTGGGCTCTCTGTGTCATCTGACTTGAGATGGTACAACAAACCCAAATCTGCTACAGAGCTGCTTGGCCAAAGGAACAAAAACGGCTTGCCAGTCTAGCCAAAGAGCAAATCACTGAAGGCTGTCCTAAAGAGCCAGAGCAGCATTGTCCTAGCCCTCAAAGGTCGAAGACCCATTTCTGCCTGCAGATTATCACTTTAACTACTCTTTTTTGGAGATTATGAACACTGCCTGTCAGGGAGCTTTCATGAGCTTATTATGAGTCCCATTTTTGGCAGCCATGATCTGATACCCCCACAAGGAATTTCAGTGGTACCTTGGAGGAGCAGCCTGTAGTCACCCCCCTTTTTACATGCTTTTACTCAAGCTATGTACTTATGATTTCTTTACAACCTGAACTACCCATGCAAACACGGAATGTCAGGTCAGCACAAGGGGGACCCTGGGATAAGTATTGGCCAGAATGGGTGCCTAGCCAACACATTGCCTAGCTCAGGCTGAAGGTGAACTGCCAGATTTGGCAGGTCAGCAACTTGCAAAGCCCTAGCAGAGGATTGCTATTCGTGGAAAGAGGCTCCTTTCCATCTTTTCATAATGCAATGCCCTGGTTTCTTTCAGGGAGATCCTACCTCTAGCACAGGGAGAAACTGCAAAATTGGAGGGGATTCCTACTAACAGGAAAACAGGTGCCAAAGGTTTTTCAAAGGTGCTGTTGCCACTCTCCAAGGTGCCAGAACTCAGTATCAATGGAAAAAACAGGAGACACATGATCACCTTGCCTCAAAACTCAATGATTCAGTGGCTGCGGGTATTTCCAACCCCCACCCCCTTTTTGACATGCACACTTGTCGTTAGCTTACTCAAGAGGTAGTTAGAGGGTGCACTCAGGCACACTTTTGTTGTAAGGATTAGACCTGTCCAGTGAATGGAGAAGACAAAAGCAAGCCCTACCTTTCCCATCTTGCTGACTGATGCTCATTTACTTTGTTCGATATAAATTAATGGCAGGCCCTACCTTACTTGAGCCCACATAAGCCTACCACAGTCTGGAAGCCTGTAACATTGTGCCTCTCAGAAAGTGAAAAATGATGGCGAGTTCCAGCATACAACATGCTGGCTAACAAACAGGCAAAGGCTTGATTCTGAGTAGCTACAACACCATTTAGAAAAAGATCTCCATTCATTGTTCTGACAGTAGAAAAAGATGTCAGTGGTGGATGGGGTGCTAAGGAGAAAGTAGAGCAATGAATTTGGGGGAAAGAGTGGAACTTTTTTTCATTCTACTAACTCTATCAAAAGGGACAGGCCGTTAGTTGGTCATACAAGTGGTTGGTTAGTTTCCAACTATGCTACAGTGTAACCCACCCATACAGCTACAAGCTTGCCCTCTTCCCAACCCACCTCCTGAAATGCCAACAACTTCTGAGCTTCATTTGACAAGTGGCAGGAGATGGAAACTCCTGTATGTCTGAAATGCAATTATTTTTTCAATATATACATTATTCTGTATTAGCATACTTATAATCTATTATGTGGTAGTTGCACACATGCTTCAGAGCATTTTATTTTAATTGAGGTTATATCACATTATAGCTACTGTCATGCCAAATACAAAGGTGGCAACACTGGGACCTTCCCTAATTCCTACCTTGTTTTGAGTCCAATCCTTCCAATTTGTTGTCTTCCTTCAAAGAAGAAGTGGAGTCTATGCTATTATCTTGCCTGAGAACAAAGAATATATTTAGATTAGTATACCTTTTATAAGTAGAAAAAGAAGCACTTTAGCATAGCAATACCTTTCTGCTGTCCACGTTTTTGTTTATTTCATGAAATCTACGTACAGTGTTTCAGTACAATAAAATATATTTACCAGCATGTTTTAGGAAAAAAAATTAAAAACCCTAGGCGAGTGAAATCCAAACAGCTATTTTAAGCATGCCTAAGGGTTTGAAAAGCAGTGTGCAATTATAAGTTTTATTTTCTGCCTGAACAGCAGACCCCCCACCCCCCATAATACAGGGTAAAATTTTAAAAATTTGTCACTTTTAAAATCCAATGTGAGGGAGGAAGACTGGGAAGCTAGACCAGCTATTTGGAAACCACAAGCCCCAAAGCTTCTTGGGTACACCAAAGCATGGGCCTTTACATACCAGAAACAGTATTTCTTCCTTTAAAATATGAGATTCTACCTAATAGTTTTTTCAACATTATGTACCATACAGTATTAGCTCACAGGGTAAGTTTTTATGTCTGAGGAAGAATAAATGGCTACAAATAGGTGACCAGGAATCTGCACTTGTGTGAGTAAAACCATGGTAATACTTACCATTAATTTTCATTCTCCTCAGGTTTAGGAGGGCAGTCTAGAATGTATTGCTCCTCCCCCTAGGATCCACAGCCAGTGAAACTTAACATAATTATATCACCTGCTGGGTGAAGAGTTTCTGCCCAGTTTGGGAACATAGCTACAACAGATGTCAATTTTTCTACACCAAAAACTTTAATTGCACCTGAGAACAGTAACAAGAACAGAAACAGAGTGTTACAGGCAACATTATTCAAAGAGTAGAATGTCTCTGAATGGCCCAATATACAACTCACAAGATGACTATAACCACCTCAGTCCTATCAAAATTTCTCCTTCCATGTTGCAAGAATATCCTTTAACCCAAGTGAAGCAAGCAAGCCCTACTATTCCAAAGAGAAACAAAATTCAACAGGAAGTGCTTTTCTCTCACCATGATGAGGTAGTCTGATGGAAAACAAGCTCATCATAAAGGTTAATCTAACGCTTATCTACCAAAGGAAAACATACACAGCAAGTTTTTCTGTGTCAATCTACAGCAATATTAGAATTATAGTAGCTACAGTAGATGTTATGAGATGGAAACCTCTATTCAAATTAAAATTCAGCCAGGAATTCAAGATGTTTATCTGACGTAAGTTATTGGTTATGTTTCTATGATAAGATAATCCTTATGAATAATCTATGCAGTGTGGGTTGTTAGCAGAACAAAACACAGTGTGTCTGTCAGATGACTGGGCTCACCACTGGTGGTTTTCCCTGCCTGCATATATCCCTGTCAAAAGCCCTGCTTAAAAGAAATCTTTATTTTTGACAGCTGTCAAAAGCCCTAGAAATGCAGGAATGGGTCAGGGACAGTGAGAATTGTCAGTTTCACACTTCTAAACTAGAAGATCTTGCTGTGAAGGGGTTGATGCAGTTCCTACTCCCTTTACAAGCAAAGGTCTTGTGGCTCTGCTTTGTACTTGATAGGTTGTCATTTGATAGCTGTCAAATGAAAGCAAATTAACATTTGTCAATTTCTATGAATGGTGCCTGTTCTGGCAGCAAGCACTTAAGAGGCCACTGGGCCTGCAAGGTTTCACTTTTTTGGGCAGTCAGAGATGTGCAATTGTGCAACTCCAAGTTCCCAACAAAAAGATAATTTTACATATTTCTGGTGCCAAAGCAAACCAAAAATGGTGAAGAACCAGCAACAGCCACTCCAATGTGTTGCTTTAGCACAGTGGAGAAGCTGTCACTTCAGAGAGTGCAAAAACAAAAAAGTCAGTTTCTGGGGAGAAAGGGCGCAAAAAAGCTTCAACAACCACAAAACTGAGCAGTGTGAGGGAACACATTAGTGTTCACTTCAAAATACCACTTGGGTACTTGGTGAAGCATTTGTCACTGGCACTCGCTCAGATGAGTATAGCAAGCCAGGTTTGCTGCTCTTGCTGTACAGCTTGCCACCTCCCACAATTTTCAATGGAATTAGTTGCCCAGTTGACATGAAGAGTCCATTGAGGGTTCAACAACCCCTGAAACAAGCCAAGCGTTCTCAGGGTGGCTCATTGGGGAAAAAACATGCCACCCTATGGGAAGTGCTCTGAGTTCACTGGAGCTGACAATCCACGCAAGTGAGTTACCCATGATGGATTGCCATATAATGCAAACCCAGGCAATATCTTGCTTCCCAAGCCAATTCTATCTTATTTGCTTATTGATGCATAATAATTAATCTCTAACTAATTTTGACTAAAACATATAAAACAATGTAAAACATTACCACAAAAGAATAAAATAGACTAGTGACCTAATCCATTACCACCCAGGGAAATCCTGCATAAACAAATGCTTTGAAAAAGTTTCTGCTTCTCAAACTGTGTGTAGGAAAAAGTCCCAAGAAGTGAGTGCAACTTCTGAGAAGACCAACATCAGTGATACCACCTGGTAACATTCTAGTGGTCAGGAAATAATCAGACCTCCTCTGAAGGTTTCAGGAATCAACTGGGTGAATATAGGGAAAGGTCATCTGCAAAGTACCTGAAATAAGTTATTTAAGGTTGTGTGTATCAACAACAGAAGCTTGCTCATGGTTCAGTAGCCAACAGGCAGAAATGCACTTATTTTAATGCATGATGTGTAAATGGCTGGATGCCCCACAGAGCATTCTGCACAAGCTACAGCTTCCAAACAAGGTGAGCAGGTGCTTCAAGTCACTAAGACCACCTCTGCCTCCAGTAATAAGAATGTATTCAGGAACACCCCCAAACAATATACCTGTTCCTTCATAAGAAACACAACCCTATTCAGAACAGTTAACCCAATTCCCAGATCCTGGAACCACCCATCCGAAGGTTCTCTGTCTTATCAGGATTCAGCTTCATTTGTTAATTTTTGTCCAGCCCATAACCATGTCTAAGGCACTACTGGTTCAGAAAATTCATGTCCCCTCCTGATTCAGATGTTACAGCAAAACGGAGCTGGGCCTATTGCCATACTGATAACACTTGCCCCAGATCTCATCATGACAGTTCCCAATGGCTCCATAAAGATGTTAAACAAAGTAGTAGAGTCAAAGTAGTGCTGTGTACCACACTATCAGGGGACTAAGGCAGAATCACCCAATGTTATTCTCTGGAACTGACCCCAGAAAAGTTGAACTACCAAAAAACAGTACCTCCAACTCCCAAATCAAGAGGCAACCCACTGGTCAATGGTATCAAAGCTCCATGGAAAACTGGGAAAAACTAACAGGGTCATACTCCTGCTGTTCTTACACAAGGGCAACCAAGTCCATTTCTGGCTCAAAACTGGGCCTGAACTCAAGGCAGCTATACTCTTACTTCTATTTTTATTCTATTTTATTAATGTTGTAAACCGTCCTGAGACGTCTGTGATGGGACGGTACAGAAAAGTTTTAAGTAAATAAATACCACCACATAAGATGCACTCACTATTCCCGTGACCCATCTGGTCAGTCCGAACAGTTAGCTGAAAGGAGCTGTGATGATGACGTATGTTAAATACTTTGAATGCTTAGAAAGTGTACTATATTAATAGTGTACTGTCACCCTTAATGTAGCCAGATGCAAAACTGAACAGGGCTTCTGGCCATTTAACATCTATGTAGAAGAGGAAGAAGATGTAATGCAAGCTACATCTCTTCTGTACTGGTATTAAAAGGCAAATGCCTTGTCCTCTTTTGCATCTAGTTCCAGAGGAACAGAGAATGATGCCTTATACCAAGTCAGATTTTTAATACGTGTAGTTTAGTATTGTCTAAAAAAGAGATGGAAAGAAAGTAGATCTCCAGATGTCAACTCCCAGGATTCCTGGCCATGCTAGCCGAGGCTTCTGGCAAGTCCTCTCCAGAGTTCTGGGCAGCAGTTGTTTCCAGGCCTATGTGGAGATACTGGGGATTGAGCCAGGTTCCTTCTGCACACAAAGCATCAACTCCCATTGAACTACAGCCATTCACCAGAGAGGTTCACTGCACGTATGGCTGATTCCTTGGGTGGATTCTGACTCTTGCCAGACAAAGGCCATCTTTGACTTTATGTACTAATGAGATGCTGTTCCATTTTCCCAGAATGGCTTCCCAGATGCATTCCTAAAGCAGATTGACCGATAGAATTTGAGGTATCTGTCTCACTAACTAAACCCTAACTACAAATTTTATTTGGCTATTGTCACTACTATCAGGAACAGACTCATGAAAAGAAGCTTCTTGAGTGACATGCATGAGATAGAATGAGCAACGTTAGGTTCACATTGAGATGTCTCAAAGGAAACCTATGGATTATAGGAGAGATGACAGACTACAGCAAGAAAGAGGGTGCAGCCTTCCAGAAGCTGCTGGATGGCAACTTCCATGAGTCCTAGCTAGCACATGCAATGGTGAGGGATTATGGGAGTTGCAGTCCAACAAAGGGAGGGCCACATATTTCCCCATCATTGATCTACAAATATGGAAATACCCCACAAAGAGGCAGACATAAACTTTACTAACAATGTTCATCAGTGCTGCTGCTCATACACTATAACTACTAAGGCTAATACTAATTACTAATACTAATATTTCCATCACACTATTATTAAGGAGATTTTTACACTAATCTAGCTTCTGTCCCCAAAAGTGAAAATATTTTCAGACACAAACCCACAATAGGCAGAAACCCACATGATAGCTCATGGTGGGTTATTTAACCCTGAAGAGGATGCAGTGAATGTTACCAATGTGTTATACATCCAACTCCATCTTAGGAGTTGAGTCATGTAGACCCAGCAAGCATTGGTTATGTGAAAAGAACAGCCCTGGAACAGCCCACTGTTTAACTGTAACCCATGTGACAAATGTAGCACCCCACCCCCAAGTGAGAGCTGAATGTGCAAAGTGGCACCCTGAGGTGCCAAAGCTCATTCTAGGTTGAGTAAGCTGGACCACATCAAACAAACCTGATCACTGAGTCGCCAAGGGCAAGCAAGTATACAGCCTGTAAAACTGCAGCATGCAGCCTAACTCAGTGTTGTTATGAGGATCATATTTTATAAACTATACAAACATGAATGAAAACATACTAGATCACATATTGGAAAAGGGTGATGAGATGCTGGTTTAGAGATATTTAAATGTTTTCACCCAAATTTGAAGCTCTCTGACATATAGGAAGAGAAAATAACTTCAAAATTGCTTGAAACAATGGGATTTTATCTGTTATCTTACCATGGTGTTCAAATGTCTTTATACAAAGCAGGGAAGATTATAAGACACACTTGAGGAAACAGGATACAGCTCTCCACAGGATTTTGAAATCATGAAAGGCAAGTCCAATTGTTGAGTTTAATGAGCATTTTGGCCATAAAATTATTTTATATTCATCTAACCAATTTCATAGCTCAACTACTTTGTCTAAAATTTGTAAAGTACGCATTATGTTAATATGCAAGCAGTCAAAGCATCCAGCCTGCAGATAGGCGTTAAACTGTAACATAAAAGGGCTAGTGTCATTCCCAAGGTGTCACCCAGACGTTTACATTTCACAGGTTCACTTCTAATGTCTTAGTTCCAGCCATTTTATTATAACAGAACTATGATTAAAGCTCTCTGTTCTTAACATGGATGTTGATAAATTCAGCTCATTTTTAAAGAGATCTCTGGTTAATTTATCTGCCTTTGAAGAGAAAGCTTCCCCCACACTGGCAGAAGGTTTGCTTTTATAAAACTTCTTGGCTAAACTGAATCAGAGATGCCAAATCAAATCCCATGAATTCAGCCTGCTAGGCCTAATTTTCATATAGGAGTCCAAACATACACATATTAGTCACAATGTTAAAAATGTTTATGCACAACATCAATGGTAAGTGCAGGGATGCAATTATTCTAGGATAGCACCATGTAAAGAGGCCATGGGACAGGATGCAGAAAACAGCATCTCAGGAAACTCCAGTCAAAAAACTAACTAAATTTCTAGCCCCTAAGGCTACAAAGTAACATTTTCAATCAACTAGTAGGAGGAGGAGGATGGAAAAGAGGCAAAGATAGACAAATGATTATATAGACTACAGAAATTCAATTTTCTTGGTGCAAATTTTGAATATTTGTAGGATGGAATTTTGAAAATTGTTCTGAACAGTGTTCCTGTTCCTGTATTGCATATATATATTATGAATATATTTTTCATTTGTTCCATTATGTCTTGAGAAGGGAGGGGTAGTCAAAGTCATGTCCATAAGGCATTTATAGGCCTCATTCTCAACCAATCCCAGAATGAAGACATCAACTCTCAAAATAGCTGAGAATATTTTCATCAAGCACTGGTCTCTTAGCAAACAAAGAGAAAATGATCTGGCACAGTCAACTAGTTTGTAGAAAGAGAAAAGATATACAATTTACTATTCTAGGATTATAAAGCTCCTGCTACCTTGAGTCTTTCCTCAAATTTCATTCAGGACTTATTTAGCAGGAAAAGCACAGCAACCTCCGCTTTCATATTGTGCACTGTATCGTAAGTGGTTTTATTCTACCTGTTTAGTTATGACAGTTTTCTAAGAACTGAACAGTGTGCTACAAAACCAGCTGAAGAAACTTTAGTGGTTCTTAGTTTTTATTAACCCCTTCAGTGCAATGACACACCTACTAATACAGATACTCTGCTGCCCAAAATACTTGTCAGTGAGCAATTCTTATGTTATCATAAAAAGGCTTTCTTGATATAGTACTGCTAGTTGTAGTTTAATGCATGTGCATTTTCTGCCATCTTGTGGTCAGGCAGTGTAAAGATGAACTGCTATTTTTCCCAGGTATTTCTTAATTTCAACCAAAAATAACTAGCTGATACATGCCACACACTTCAGCATACTTGCTTTACATTAAATATAGATTCACAGGAGAATATGGAAAGACTCACAGCAAATTGTTCACATGCAACCACAGAAAACCAAGATGAGAACTGGTAGCTCATCTGATATCCTTTATTGGAGCCATCTTGTCTTTAAATTCATGCACGTCCTTTCTTTAGTTTCGCAGTCATCTCAAGCAGATTACAACTCTCCCCAGGCAAAGAACTGAGTTCAACTTTCAATAAAATTACTAGTCTAAGACTGCAATTCCATGCAGACTTTCCTGGAGTAAACCTCACTGAACTCAATGGGAATTACTTCTGCATAAACATGCAAAGACTCTCACTGTGGTGGCATTGAAGGTTCTAGAATCATGATCTCACTTCATCAGGTTGGAACTCTAGTTCCTCCAGATGTACTGGAGCTTTCTATTGCTGAACAGCTCCAAGGGGAATCCAGTAAGGTCCAATAAATATATTTGAAATTACAACATAGGAAATATGAAAACACTACCTTATTGGTGAACTTTGCTTTAGGCTCCAATAATTCATACCATTCTAGTATATAAAAATAAGAAGCCAAGTAGGTTCTTGTAAAGTGCAGCTCACAAATTTAAGCTTTAGCCTGTGCTGGGCCATACCTCCTCATTGTCCCCTGCTATCTTGCAGGTTGGTACAACTGCAACCAGTATGGTGGGGCACAGTCTGTAAGCTGTAGGACCAGCACAGATGGGCCATATTCCCATACCAAATGGTTTCTGTTGGAAAGTGAATTCTCTCAGATGCTCCTGCTACTTTTAAAAAACGGCAAGCTTCAAAAAGAATTTGGCACCAGAACGAAGAGGCAGCGATGGCTTGCTTAAAGCAAGTAAAACTAATCCTCAAGGTATTTTTATTACACAGCTCATAAACACCACAGAATCTTCTCAGCTTCCAAATCCAAATTAACAGTAGACGGCTACCAGATTGATTGACCATTTTTATAATACAGATGAATAGATCTAGTACTTCTATAGGATTAAGTACCAGGAATATTGCTTGGTCTTATTGCAGCCATAAGACAAAGCAACTCATGGATGTAAATGAGCCAGCTAAAGCAAAATTTAAACAAGCCTCTATACAGGCTGGAGAAGAACTCTATAAAGTCTGTAGCCAAAGTAAAGATACAGATTCAAAAGCAAAGCTAGTTTTTAAAGATGCCCCTACCTTCAAAGGTGATGAGTAAGCATACCTAGAGACAAAACTCAAATAACTCCAAAGTTGGTCCTAGGATTACATACTTTCTTGCTGAACTACAGTATTGGAGACCACTGCAGTATCAAATTTGTCCCCTCACTGCTACGCCTTGCACAACCCAGAATCTAAGGAGTGGTATGCAAGGATTTCCTCTTCAAGGCGCTTTCACCAGGGTTTCACATAATTTGAGCAGGTTTTAAATGAAGTTTCACTGGGGTCTCTCCAAGGCTCAATGAAGTTTCATCTGGTGTTTTGCAGGGTTTCATTTCACCAGGGCTTTCCAGGTACTCTGCAATATTTCATTAGGATTTCACCAAGGCTTTAATTGGGATTTTGCTGGCATTTCACAAGTGCTTCAATTCAAATGTTCAGTGCAAGACAAAATTAAAACAAAATCACTGAAGACAGTTAAATTAAATCTGTTCATTGCAATTACTTACTGACTGATTGATTCAGTTGCTGTCTTCTCTTCACCCCCATCAATCTCTTCATCACTGTCAGAGTCAGCCCCATTCTCACCTTGAAATAAAATGTCAGTGTGAGACACTATGACTTGGCAACATTTTCCCACCTCATTAATACTGCACATCTGTAAATACCATTATGACTGTCAGATGAAGAGACACACCTGCCTGAGTGGAGGATTTGACAGAAAGCATTTGGAACTGTAGTCAGTAAAGGAGAAAGACTTGAGTTGAGTAGATGACTGGCAATAGAGAACAATGCTAAGTTTCAAGGGTCTAGTGTTGCTTGGGTGGTGAACTGCATGTTACCTTCAGGACTAGTAATGCCTGGCTGAGTGCTTGGTGTACCTCACTTTGTCCAGGAAGGTGCTGTCACTCAGTGGAAGAACACATACTTTGTAGGTCATCCAATTGTACACCCATTGCTCAGCCAAAGTTTCAGGGTGATCTAAACTGTAGACCAAAATATCCAGTGGGCACCAGATTGGGTTAGGTTTGCAAGAAGAAACTCAGGGTATAAATGTAATACTGTAACAAGAATAATTTTCCATGGGCAGCTGGTTGGCCACTGCACAAACAGAATACTTGCCCTGAGCAAATGCTCACACAGAACATTTTAGCTTCAATCCCTGACATCTCCAGTTTTAAATAAGATCAGCTAACAGGTACTGGGAAAGATTTCTGGGGAGCTATCGCTAGTCAGAATAGATGATAGACTTAGATGGCTGAACAGTCTGTCCCAGTATAACCCAGGCGGCTTGATATGATCTGAGGAATGTGTGTATTTGTAAATAAACAGTACAAACAGACCATAACTCTCCAGTGCTCTAACAGCCCGCACTGGCTTATTTCACCTATTGGGGCCATTGTGTTGTGCTGGGTTCCTACAGGCACTGTTTTGAATGGCATTTACAGGAGTGCAACTTGATGTGGTTTGTCATGCCGTGCAAACTTCAGTGGCAGGTTAGACAATTCTCAAATAACTGACAGCTTGTCTAACCCTCGAATACCCACTGCTGTCTAGGTTCACAAGACGTGCCAAGCCATGTGCTCATGCGCATCATGCAAAAGTGGTGCCCACTGGCACCTAGCATGATATGGCAGTCCTCACAGGTAACTGAAGCTGTAATGGGCTGTCGGGATGTGCAAACAAGCACAATAACATCCAACCAGACAGGCTTTGCCCAACACCAAATCTTAACCTCTTTTAAAACACATTTATAGCCATTTGTGTTAAACTGTTTCCCTGGTATTGCACAGAAAAAACAAAATACAAGCCAGGGTCTGTTCAAGGACCTTGTGTCACCTAACATTACTGAAGGGGCTAGACATAGAATACATTTCAGCAACACATGTAGCAGTATTGGCAGCTTCTGCAAGTGAAATCCAATGCTGATGCTAGAGTAAATGAGAAGCAAATAAATTATCAAAATTAAGTGCAATGATACAACCCATGGCTTGCACTAGGAGTTGGTGAACCAACATGGGGTTGTCATATTGTCCAAACCTGGGTGACTGACTCTCTTGTGAGTTGAGGGAATGGAAACTGAGCTGCTCAACACAAACAGCTAAAGCTCACTGGTGGTCTTGCTTAGTGAGACCGGACTACCAATGGCAGCCACTCCAGCAATGCCCAAGCAGCACTTTGGAATGACCATCCCTGGCTCAGTCTCTCTACTGTGCATGGAACCCCTTTTTGGGCACTACTGCAGCTTTCTGCCCTTTTCAGAGGATGTTATAGCTACATATTTGCCTCTCAAAAAACCATGTTTAGCCCTTTAAAAAAAGAGTATTTTAAAAGAAATAGTTTATTTTGCTAACTGTCAAAACCCCATGCTAACATCAAATGAGGGGATGCACTGCTCCCCTTTCCCAAGCACCTAGAAGCTGAGGAAAGAGTTTTCTTTCACAAACAAGATCTTTTTGCTGCTTTGGTTTTCACTTGACAGATCCCTGTTTAACAGCTGTCAAGAGAGAAGTACTATATAGCCTTGCTTGGTCAATGTCCATGGCTGCTGCCTCCTGTACTTACAGCAGACACTTATCACAACATTGAGCTGCAAGATTTTTCATTTGTTGCCTGCAAGTGGAGTCTAGTTCTGGGCTCCACATTATAGGAGGGACATAGCTAGGTTAGAATCAGTTCAGCTCAGGGTCACAAGAATGGTAGCTGGGTTGGGAGGGATGCCATATGAGAAGAGATTGAGGGATCTGGGTCTTTTCAGCCTGGAGAAAAGGAGACTCCGATGGGATCTTTTAGTGACTTATAGCTATGTGAGGGGATGTGATGTGGAGGAGGGCCCTCTCCCTGCAGTAGAGGCCAGGCTGCATTCCAATAGGACAAAGCTCCAGGAACCAGGCTTTAGATTGGGTGTCAGGAAGTACTTCCTGATGGTTAGGACCCCTAGGATATGGAATGGGCTCCAAGGGAGGTGGTAGAGGCCCCATCAGTGAGGGTGCTCAGGGAAAGAGTGGACAACCACATGCTGGGGATTACATGAGCAGAGCTGACTGAAGCTGGGGGTCAGACTAGATGGCCCAGGACACCCCTTCTGACTTGCTTTGTTTCTATGTTTCTATTACCTGGGAAAGATCCGAATTTTTAAAAAAGAAATATAAAAATTGTATTTTGTATAATTGCACATGTGGAATCTTAAAAAAATCTGGTAAAGCAGTGATGGCTGCTCCAGTGTGCTGCTTGCTGCTTAAATTACCAATGCTGAAGACGACAAGGCTGCTTCAGTAACCAAGTTGCCTGGGATTTCTATGCTGGAGGAAAAGAAAAGGGGACACAACCCTCAGCAAGCCCAATTGCCTGTTGGGTGCACCAAAGTTTATTCCACAAACCCACACTGTGTAGCTTATTCAGAGTGGATTGCTGTGTCATGCAAACTTACCTATACATAACACACACACACACACACAACTTTCTGGTTTTTTAATCTACAGAGCAAGAAATAAGCTTAATATAACCACCACCAGAACTCTGGTGAGTAGTCCCTCTGACTGCAGCAGCCATTAATCTTAAGTCTCTCTATATTAGATAGATTCCAAGTCATGTTTCCCCTCATTTGTTCAACGTGTCTCTTCCAATCTATCTTATAGGCAATTGCTGTTTTTCTCTGCAGCATATCTAATCAAATATCCTTGTACTTGGTGTTCATTAGGGACTCCAAATTTACAAGCAGACACCACTGCTTTAGGTATACTAGTGCTACACTGGTGTATCATCCAACAAATACATGAAATGTGGACAACCTATCCACATACACGTTCTTCAGGTTATCTCTCTGGGTTGGGTTCCCAAATAAGTGTACATAAGCACTTAAAGACATGAATAAGTAGTCTACACTTCACATGTTTGCACTGGACAACACCACTATAATACTGTAGAGGCTAAGCAGCTGCAGCTGCCTGGTGCAGTTAGTGTGGATATCTGTCCTTAATACAAGGTAAATACTGTATTCACATCTACAAACACGGTTCAGAATGTCTCCTTGGCTCATAAGCAGATACTGAACAGGTAAGGAAAACTGTTGTTTCATGCTTTAGTCAGATCCTGCATTGACTACTGTAACTTGTTATCTTTGTCTGTCCTCTCTTCAACATCTTAATCGTCTCTCTTCTATCCAAAACTGTACTGCCAAAACCTCTCACCTCTTTTTGTACTCAGACCATGTAATGTCTTTTTCACTGGCTGCAATTCAGTGGTAAGACATGCCTTTTGCATGCAGAGGGCCCTGGGGTCTTTGGTTACAGTTGGGAATACTCTTGTCTGGAGCTAGCCAATGCCGGTCAGTGAAGAAAATGCTAGACAGGGTAATGGTCTCATGGCAAGGCAGTGCATGTTCCTACGTTTAAAATATTCCATGCTGTTGCCTTTCTGTCCTCACTTCCTATTGTATGCCTGCTTTGTAACTTTTCCTCCTCCAAGCCTCTCATCTCAAAGATACCTACTTTCTAAAGATACTCGGGCTTGCTGCCCCTTATGCCCAGAGCTCCCTCTCAGAACATGTGCATTATACCGTCTCAGAATCTCTATTTTCAGGGTATCTTTAGTCAAATTCTAATCCTGATCTGAATATGAAACAAACGCACATGTAGCACACATGTTTATTCAACCTGGCCTTTGGCATGTAAATGGGACTGTTGTATTGGCTGTTGTTTTTATTACTATTCTGTTATTGTTATGCTTTGATTATCTTTTAATGCATTTGTTTACTACTGTTTGAATCAAGTTTTATTTATGACTATAAATGTCCTTGAATGCTACCTTTCTTGGTACAGAGACAGAGCACAAATCAAATCAATCAATCTGTCACAATATTTGCATTAATCCGTGGTTATCGTCCTCTTGGTCCTTTTTTTTCTTTCCCTCCCCTAGCCTTGCTGTATCCCTTATTGCCAAATGTGGATTATGAAGTCTTCAAAACCTCACAGTTTGATTTGGGGCGGGGGGGGGGGGGACATTACTCTATAATGCACCACAACTAATGATGCTACATAAATAATAAAAAAGGAGCTGGCATTTTGATCACAGCTAAAATATAGAGAAGAAACAGCCTTTGTAATACCATAGCTTAGTGGAGAGGATGAAAATTTATTCCCGTCCTTGGATAGTGCAAACAAAGCTAAATGACCATGCAGCTCAAATGGTGCTGCAGACTTCTAATGAATGCAAATTTCTTCTATCTGTGATAAAACAAAGACTACTGATTTAAAATTATAAATAATAATTTATAGTTGTTCCTTTTGTTATGGACAACTCTATAATCTAAGATTAAATCCACAATTTGATTGAAATGCATGAAATAAAGGATTATAAGCTATCACCAAGTATCTGTAATACAGGCAAGCACCTTCTTTAATCTGTTAGATGAAACTGAGGCCTAGATATAGTAATTTAGACTACAATCCTATACACAGTCATCTAGGAATAAGTCCCACTGAGCTCAACAGAACTTGCTTCTGGGTGGAATGTGGAATGTTCATTGTTAGGTCTCTTTTAACATTTTACTACAAATAATATTTTGCTCACATTTTTAAGCTCATACAAAGCTGTGTCCCTTCCTATTCCTTCATAGGCATTATGCTAAAATTTTAGAATAAATTTTTAAAAAAATGTTTAGTACAGTATTATAGACTGGTGCTTACCTTCAAGAATTTTCAGAAGCTTCTTCTCAGACATGAGTTCCAGCTGTTCAAGACAAAGCCTTTTAATTTCTTCTATGGAACAGTTCTAAGGTAAATAAACAAAGGACAAGTTTTATGCACTAATGTTAACAAGAGCGCAACAAGTCAGGTATTATACACAGCTTTAGCCAACCTTAAAATTTATTATCTGGATTTTTAATATGCAAAAATATTATAAAAAATATGAAATGACGTATGCCATATCTGAAAATAAGTTCTGCTTTTGAGGCTTCTCAGGTAAAAACCTTTGTACAAATCTCTAATCCTGGCTAGCAGATATAGATTATTCAAGCTACCGTTATCGTCAATTGTTTTTTTATACACAAACACATACAGAGAGAATTAGTCCCACTCTTAGAGGGCCTCCAATAACAACATTTTTATTTCCAGAGGGGTAATTGCATCAATTCATCTGCCGCAGCAAAAATAGCAGCTTTGCACTATAAGATTTAAGTTTTTATCATAATCGTTCCTTCTCATAGTATCATCCAGAAGCCACTTTACTTATTCCTTATACATGACAAGAGTTTTGAGGGACCATGATATCAACCTGTACAGAATTATTAAAACAGACCATTTCTTAAATTATCAGAAACCCAGAGCTGGAACAGATGTAAGAATAATTCCCTAGGAACTACTGTTCATCAGGTCTCAGCCTCAGCATTTTCCATTACCCTAAGCCATGGGTCCTCAAACTACAGCCCGCGAGCTGAATCCGGCCCGCCATGCCCATTCATCCAGCCCGCCATAGCTCGCCACGCGTGCGCATGCGCACGTGTGGCAAGGTGCCAGCTTGCTGGCAAGGAGATCGTTTTGGACTTGCTCAGAGAAAAGGATCTCCTTGCCAGCAAGCCGGCACCTTGCTGGGAGATCCTTTTCTCCTAGTGAGTCCAAAACGATCTCCTGGTGAGCAAGTCAGCCCCAAGGGGCCGGCTTGCTTCCAGGGAGATCGTTTTGGACTTGTTGGGAGAAAATGACCTCTGCGCATGTATGCCCCTGCCTTCTGCACGCGTGCCTCCCCCACCGCCCACACCGCCTTGGCAGCCTGCACCCAGTGCTGGAACCTTTCAACTACCCCCCCATTTAAAAACTTTGAGGACCCCTGCCCTAAGCCATGTGACTGGCTAACTCACACACTTTTCCAGTAGGCCTTAGAACAAGGAAAGGGAAACTCTTTCCACCAAAGGTCCTAATTTAATTTCAGAAAACCTCTCAAAGGCCACATTCCAGTACAATAGAAAACATCACTGAACACCAGCATTTTTGTTTGTTTGTTTGTTTGAAGCACTTAATACTACTAATTTAAGCTTTAGGAGAGGCATTTCAGCAGTTTAGAATGGGGTGGGGGGGAGATGCAAAAGCTGAAAAATATTAAGTATTAGGGGAAGGGGTGCAGTCAGGAAGAGAGGGCATCGCTGTCTGCGGAACGCCCAGAGAGCCAGACAGGGACCCAAAGAAGCTCTCTGCCCCGGCATAGCATCTGCCTGGACCCAGTTCTATTGCTAGCCTGTAAACAGCCCAATTGTTTCTGAGCAGACTGAGAAGTTTCGAGGCTCTTCCCCTTGCCACACACTTCTCAGCAATAAATTTGGGAGGGGATAGGCTAGCTAAAATGCCTGGGGACCAGTAACTTTTGTAAGACTGCTCTATGGTGTCTGCGATGAAAAATGAGCTCAGTGTAGTTACCTAGCCAGCTGCCTGTAAGCATTGCTATGAAACTGACTCTGTAGCCTTAGGGCAGGAGTGCAAGTTGCACCAGGGAGCAGCCATAAAGAGGAGTCGCTCTCTTCCCATCTCAGATTTTCCAAAATATTCCCAAGAAATCTTGAGACAGGACTAGCATTCCATAATCTGAAGATTCAGGTTCCTTTTTTGCCATATGAAACATTCTGCAATATTCTTAAAGGGTAGATAACGCCTGCTCTCTTGTTTTCCGTTTATTTTTTAATCCTGCCTGCCCTGATTTCTAGTTACTTTATTTCCTAGCAAGGATGCCACATGTCTCTTGGGAGTAGCATTCTTTTTAATTATAAATGACTTATTTATAAACTGCCAGGTTGCCACACTCATATCTGACGGAGTTATGTCCAATTAAAGAAAAATTTCAATACCCCCGTGGAAATGCTATAATTACATACGACATTATTCCATATGCCACAGTAATTAACGTTATTTACATTCCCAGTCTGCTCCATTCCAAGGGCTGTACAACGGTATTTATTAAAACACACACAAGAAAATATAAACACTGAATGCCTTTGTAGCAGTCTGCTCTTAGTCTCTGTCAAACTACTGTTGAACCAGCTTATGAATGCATATGATGTACATTGAATAGGTTGCAATCTTTAAATGGTAGGTTAATCAATCGAAGCTTACTTGATTAATCAGTGAGAGTCAATTTTAAATCATTAAAAACACATTTTAATTGGTGGGGTTATGAGGTAAGGGCACATTTGTCTATTCGTAAGGCTATTCAAATCGTAGTATGTTACTGTAATAAAGAATGAAACAGAGAAAATTGTAACATGTTCTTCCTTTCAAGTATATGTGGCTGCTTTATTGCAAAAGAGTGCATGTTGAGAGAATGCTTTAAATAACTATTTCAAAACAGCCCTGTACAGGCAAGTCTCCTAAAAAACTCAACATGACGCCAATCTATTTGATCATTTTAGTTATACACGCATCCAAATAATAAAAATTCCCTTTTGGCCCCTTCTGATTTATAAGGGCTGAACTTGACAATAATACAAACAGTGACATGTAAAACTTCTGTTTAAATGCCATTTAATGAACCTTCAGTGCCCCCCTAGGCTCTTTAGTGAACTTTTGAGTCATTTTAGGTTATTTGAGAAAATAAATTGTTCTTTGAGGAATTGTCTCATCTCCAGTGGTGAAATTAGGATTTTCTGAATTATGTAACAGGTGTTTGAGCATAAAACTCCTTATAGGGCTTCTGATTCAGAGAGTATTTGACAATTTTTTAGCGCAATCAATTTCTGAAATAGCACCATTGCATAACAATTTCCTTCTAATTCCTTTTGTTCTAGCTTGATATTTTAAAGGATACACAGATAGGATAGCCCTTACTCAAGCATAATTAAATTTGACATCACTAGGTATGTTGGGATATAACCTGTTCCTTTACTTTCCTTCTATGTCTACCAGTCCATGTGCTTTAAAGCCAGGGGAAGAATGTGTATGTATGATTATACACAGTCCTTTAAATACTGTGTTGAACAAACAACATCTAGCTTAGATTTCAGAGGAGCTGGTAGGAATCCCTGTCTATACGATTCCAGTCTATGTACATTGTAGGCAAACTATTTATCTAATTGCAAAGACTGTACATTTTCTATCTGCGTTAACTGATGTCAAGAGAAAACAGAGAATGATGTGTCTTGTCAGGGGCTTACAGAATTTTAAGTTCATTACTAATTGTATACAATTTTATTCAGGTCTGTGTAAACATTATCTTTCTTAATATGTGTTAAAACAGGAGCATTTTAAAAACAGAGTAGAACAGTGATCTAGTCTTGTCACTGCTGTTGCACAAGTGGAAATCCACTTGTAGAATGCACCTTCCTCATTCCCTCTGCCAGAATGCAGGCCCCCAGATCTGCCACCAAGTTTACAGAGCAAAGCAAAGCTAGCGGGTGCCCAGCCTTCTGCTTGCAGAACACCCCCAATCTATATAACCCCCAGGATTTTAAGTTCATTTGATATAAGATATACGAGCCAGTGTGGTGTAGTGGTTAAGAGCGTGGGACTGGGACTCAGACGATCTGGGTTCGAGTCCCCGCTCAGCCATGGAGCCAACTGGGTGACTTTGGGCCAGTCACAGACTCTCAGCCCAACCTACCTCACAGGGTTGTTGTTGTGGGGATAAGATGGAGGAGAGATGATGTAAGCTGCCTTGAGCCCTTTGTAGGAAAAAGGCAGGATATAAATCCATAAATAAATAAATAAATAAATAAATAAATAAAGTTGGGCTCATGCTGCTTTATGTAATATGGGTTTCTGTCATTTTTAATTTTGTGAACATGTTACTTTTATATATTTATGTAATTCTATTTTTTT